ACTCCAGCTCCTATTGTTGTCTCTCGAAATAGTTATCTATTCTAAAATTGTCTAGTTTCTTATTTTGTAAGTTTTTTTCCACGCTGATTTCTCTATTCCAATGAATGACTGTATTTATGTTTGGTAAAATTTAGAAGGAGATCTGCAAATGGTTCGGCCGTCATTAACATTTTCCCCAGAGATAATACGGAAAGGGCGGTGGAAGACCGAGAGGTGAGACTTCACCGAGACTGACTAACATTCAAAGGATGAAGGCTTGAGTGATGGACATTAACAGATCTGAATCGAGGCGGCCCACAGGCTTGGGTCAAAAATTTCCAGTGATGCTCATTTTTGAAGATGAAGCTTTGATTTCATAAGGTCTTCACTTGTCTCATTCCAGTAATTATTGACTGATTGAGATAGAAGCATGAGATCAAACTGTAATAATCCTTGAACTGTGTGGGGCAGGGATCTTGTCTTACTTACTTCACAGGTTATTGGCTAAAAATTGCTGTAACTGTGAACTCAAGCCTTTTGAGAATTTAATTTCAGAATATTTCAAGACTGTGAAATCGGTTTTTTGTCTGCATGAGAAGTTCATGAGGGGTCTTTTACCTTTGTGCGTTGCATTTTGTAAATTCACTTTATTTTAGGCATATATTTTTATTTGATCATTTGCTGGTTCTATGTAAAAAGCATAAAGGATACAAGTTCAAAGAAAGAATAACCGTTAATCTTATGGATATCGTCGACATTGAGGACAGCGATGGTGAGAATTTGGAGTGTTTTTCTCTATTTTTGCCTTTTATAGCATGAGGGATGGCATCAGAATAGGACAGATTGATAAGCACGTTTTTTTTGGTTTTGTGGTCCCACGTAAAATATTTGCAGTAAGGAACTTTTTCCAAATAACTTATTCCTTCCTTTGGAGGTTGTGGCTGTAGTTCATTTGAATCATAATTGTTATAGTTCTTCGTCACTCGTTCCGCCTGGAATCTCGCGAAAAGCCAGAATTGACTCGGACGTTCACGATGATTTGTAAGACAGCTGAGGAGAAAATGGATTGGATGTCAGCGCTAGTCACTGTAAACACGAAGAGGTCGGGCTTGATTCATTGTTATGTATTTGCAGAAGAAAGGGCGGTTAACCAGATTCATCATTTATGTTCGGGGATTACATGTATGGTAAGTAGATCTTGGCCATAGGTGGATGTCATGAGTTTGTGGGCGCTTACCAACTCATGACATCTGCTCCGCTATGATTGCATTGATTCCTGTTTGCAGACAAGTTTTATTAGGAGTAAAGGAACCGGGAAAGTTAGCCAGCTCGTAACTGTTATCGCTCATAGGCCTTCTTCTCTAGAGTTATCGAAAAAAAGCTGGCCAAAATTTATTTGTCAGTGTCCGTCCCTATTTGAGGAAATTAAGGAAGATGGAGTTAGAGAAATTGGCGCCGAAGCCGCTTTCTCCCATGCCCCTTACTATGCATGTACACACATACCCTAAAGTATCGCACCCTTTATCTTCAATGGAGCTGTTGAGCTGTACTATTACACCCCATCTCTAAATCCCGCCTTCCATACAAAATACAAAATTTTTCCTGGTGCTTAATGAAACACTTCACTATGAGGTATCTCCAGCTAGGTGAATTAAGTGAGTTCATTTCCCAAATTGGCAAGTGGAGGTAGGAAAGCTGTTAATGAAACGGCCGCTAATGGGGCGGACGTTTCCTGCTATTGAAAGATTCCTTGTTTAAGCTAAAATTTGGGGTGTGCAATTTCATCACTGTTGTTATTCCAATTCTTGTAATATCTTCAGTTTACTTGACCGAGTGCTCGATGGCTACGAGAAAGAAGAGGCAAAGCGAATTCCACTTGTTACTCCAGGGCCAGAACAGTACAGGTAGAGTTTGTGAAAAAAGTCCACGTTTTCAAAAGAGAGTGTTAACGGAACATTAGCTGAGAGAGGTCGTTCATACTTTAGCGAATGAAACTTTTAATTTCAATTTTGCAGTCATTCCCATTAAAGTTCAAAGTTTTCAACCAAAAACTTATGGTGACTAATTTCCAATTGTTCTAGATGCTGAGCGAATGCTACTCTTTTCTTTTCAGATTTGCTGAACCTGATTCAGAAGAAAATATCTCCTTTGAGGATTACACATCTAGTAGCGGAATTCCTGTCGTTAAGAATGGTACTGTCCTGAAGCTTGTCGAACGGTTGACCTATCACCAGTAAGTTATATTCACTTCCTGAGATAACTAGTAGGTTCATCCCATCAGGAATTCTCTTTCTGAGGGCCACCCATTTCTTGACAGTGTTGACTAATATGTATGGATACTATACAATTTTTGCTTTGAGCACATAGTGGCTGTCTCAAGATAAATTTGAAGGTACACAGACAACAAGTATGTTCAAACATTCCTAATTTCCTATCGATCATTCTGTACGCCAAGCGAGTTGTTGGAGATGCTCATCGAACGGTTCAATGTGCCGGTACCCAATAAACTACTCCAGAACCAGGAAATGAGGTAAGGTTGATTTGCTCGAGCGGTCATTTCAAGCTCGGATTCTGGGAGTTCTTTCTTTTCAAAAGACCCTTTCCATTTGCAGAGGTGGTCCGTTAGCTGGACGTTACGACACTGTTCAGTCACACGGTCTTTCGGGAGGAATGATGTTTTCTGCGTACAATGAACAGAGCTATCAACGATTCCGAAAGGAGTACGAGCGACCGATACAGAGGAGGTGCCTTCAGGAAGATTATTTGTTCTTACTCATTTTTATTTCCAAATGATCACGACAAGTCAAAATACAACTGATTCACTATGTTCTTTTCATTCTGCACACCCAGCAGCTTGTCAAGTATTGGTGGTCTAATCGTCTAGGGCTGTTGGATTTTTGGTAGAAATAATTTTTACGAGATTTTTTCCTGCTGTTTCGGTGTGGGAGGGAGAGGGAGGGTAGAATGGTTCAAATTTGCATGGAGAAAACAGTCATATGTATAGTCTGTCATCAGAGCGTTTCCCTAAGGATGAAAAGGACATCTTTTTGTTCGGCTCTCCGTGCTCTCATATATGGAAACTACATTATCGTGTTTTTTGAGGAGTAATCAGGTTTAAAGATCATAGGTTCCTATTTCAGAGTTTTGAGTGTTTTACATCAATGGGTCAAGAATCACTGGTACGACTTTGAGAACGACTCGACTCTGCTGGAAGCCCTCGAGCGGTTCCTTCAGACTTCTTGTGACCAAAAATTGACCAACCAACACAAAAAATTTTGTAAAAACATTATTGTGAGTCGTTTACAGACAAACTACAAACAGATGCTTGAGCGACTGTGATGAGTCTTCGTCTTTTCAGACTCTGATAGAGAAGAAGCAGAAACAGCAGGAATCTGAGGGTCATGTGAACACTGCATTTGATTTTGAAGATACGAATGCGTTCCAGCCTAAAAAACCAGAGGTAGCAATTTTTCAAGTCGTTCCGTCTTTTCGAGTAACCGCGTGATTTTTCAGCCTGTTTGGCATGCTGCCAAACAAGGAGACGTAGCTAACTATGATCTTCTCACGTTACATCCGCTAGAGATTGGCAGACAGGTGAGAGCTTACTTCCAATCTACATCATTAGAAAGTTCTAATGGTTCCGTGTGATTAGTTCTTGATTTTCTAACCTGATAGGTTTGCTTCACACAGTTAATCCGTCCTATGCAGTAGGAACTTTGACCATTCTACCTTCTTGACTTCTGTTTGGGATGTAACAGGCCTAGTCTATTCCCTTGGTAACGTAACCTAGACATAGTGATGTGTTTTGGAGGGTTCCTGCCCTGGCGAAACAATGTATCAATTGTGGTGATAAGCACGCTGCGTGCTTTTAAACATTCGTACTAAGTAATTTTCCAGTTAACCCTGCTTCACTTTGATCTTTATCGAGCCATAAAACCGATAGAATTGGTAGGAGCGGCATGGACAAAACATGACAAATATCGAAGAAGTCCTCAGCTGTTGAAGCTCACAGACCACTCAACCTTGGTGAGTCTCCTTCACTTGAAAGATTATCAAATCTCGGGCTGTTATTGGATTTCTGAGTTGTAGTCATTGCAAAAACTTGGGGCCTTTCTCGACTTGGCATATTTTCCCATACTGAGGAGCGGTTTTGTAACAATTGCTCAAGTGTTTTACGATATTTATGGATTGAGTTAAGTTTGAAGTCCGAGTGGCAGACAAAAGAAGGACATAACATTTTATGATTTAGCATCTTTTACAATTTCATAGATCTAGGGGTTAGCGACGGATAAGCCGATTCCGAAATTGACAGGATTAGGTTTACTGGAGACGTTTTGTGCGGAGTCTGACGGGTACTTTAATCTTTCTCGTATGATTCGCTTTCATGAAACGGCAATGAGCTTTCCTCAAAAGCCTTGTGACATTCCCTAGGACATGCGATCCCATCGCTTTGAGTGTCCTTCATCGCATCGGGAGAAGTAAAGAGACCGTCTTCGTGACTACACCAATTGAGAACGAATTTGACCGTACAGTCTGGTGTAAAGGTAGGATTGTGCTAGAATACATAAATGACTAAAACATTTCCAGCTTACGTACTGGGTGTCACGATCCATCGTTGAAACGGAATCACTGGAAGAACGGGTAGCGATGTTTGCTCGCGTACTTGAGGTAAGCAATGCGGCTGATTAAAGTCGTGGAACTTGTGATCTCACATGCATGATTTGTTCATTTCAGGTTATGTCAGTATTTGAAGAGCTTCATAATTTCACTGGGCTTGTCGCGTTTCAGTCTGCTCTCAATTCAGCCTGTGTTCATCGATTAACTTGGTGCTGGGAGGTTGGTTGGAGAGAATTTTGGGTGATTATTTTATTTTGCATTCTACTCTGAAGCGCATCATTTATGCCTTCGTACTGAATAAATTTTCTCTCAGTTCTCTGAAATGGGAGATTGCCGGTCACGAAAACTCTGCAAAATAAACTAGCATGGAGGTGTTTCAGGTCATGGGTAGATTCTCTTAACTGCTTCCCAATTATGTTAGGGGATACACCTAAGGGATTTATAGGTACTCTAGCCCAATATAAGAAGAGTCTTCTGAGTGGAGGTTCACTATAAGGAATGACTGATGTTTTTTCTGAGGAATCGCTTACGATTAGTGGTCTATGATGAGTGTAATGAGCATTGTTGCTTATAACCGCCTCAGTGGCCTAATATGACGTCAAACGTGGGCTGTGGGCATGGCCGAAAACTCCCACGAATGGGCCTTTATCTTGATCTTTACTTCACTGAGTTTTGCATTGATTTGATAGCTGGCAAGTTTTATCTGATACGGTATCTCTCTTTGTGATGATTTCCACGGGCGGATAGAGGTTAGATGACGTTGGGATTAGCGGACCCGTGAAAAATGTTGTGTGAACTGATAATTAAAATCAATCTTGAGAATTATTTACGTTTGCTTCTTTCAGCGTCTTGATCATGAGAAAGTGAAAACCTACGATCGCTTCGCAAAACTTTGTGAACCTCGCTATATTGAGATGCAGAAGCGTATTCAGTCGATCAATCCTCCCTGCGTTCCGTTTTTCGGTAGGTTTTCATCTTCCTCCTATGTTCGCCTACAATATTAGGGTAGGATTTAAGAAACTGATTTGGACTGAGTGGACCGATGTTGTCAAAGTGTTGTGTTGTGGGTAAGACTTCGGCCTCGGTCGGGACTCCGGCTTGTAGGACTCGATGTACTTCTGCTCTTTGGTCACCGTGCTCTTTCACTCTTACAGTACCGAGACCCCTAGCTCTGGCCATTGATTGAATGACTTATGTAAATGTATACCATAGAACCAGAAATTAATACTTGGAAGCTTAATTGACGGGAAATTCCATCACAGCGAATGAAGAGGTTTTTCTTTGAAGAGGAAAATGGAGGTTGAATCATAGGCCGTAGGCAGGACTTTTTTCGAAGCACACTTATTATCTAAGATACTCAACCCTCTAGGCTTTGCTTCTGATCCCTTCCTGTAACTTTTTTTTCAACAAGTAGAAAAGTCTTTGCAATCCCTTCAGCGAAAGAAACCCTTTTTTGCAGCCATCGCCTTGACTCAGATGTGTTTTCGTTACATAGATGAGTGTTGTGCTTTGCAGAGTAGTTGACTCAACGCCTGCAGGAGTTTCACTTTGCCAAAGATCTCTAACTCACCCGAATCCCATGCATATTCCTCGTATGGTTAGTCATTCGCAGATGGCTTTGCTCAGATTAGATTAGTAAGAGAGGTACGGCAGAAAAGCCCAGAAGGAGCTCCACAGTTGCCCAGAAGGAGCTCCACAGTTGGCAAACTTTCTGAGTACCGAGCAGCCGGTAAACAATAGGGTGAATTTAATACTCATATCACCCATGCGAAGGATAAGGAGATGTTTCCAAGTACTAAAGAAGCTTTCTGCTCTCACCGATGGTTCTGCTATCAGTCGACTAAGTCCTGGGAAGTAGGGATCATCAGCTAATCGGGGTTGAACTGGTTTACTTCTTTTTATCGGACAAATAATGGCCTTATTTATATGTGAAGGTTTCAGTCGTATTTCTTGAGCGCCGACTTTTATCGTACTTCGGGTTAGTCAAGTTTTTTGTTGATTGACCTTTTGCAATATCTCATTTCATGAATCCACTATGTTTCCTTCTCGGTACAGGCGTGAAGTGTTTAATCAGTTGTACTAGCAGAGCTCTGATAAACAACCTTCCGAGAAATCCGACTTTATCATAAATTGAAGTAGAGCCCGGTTGAGCGGGGTTTTCTTAGATTCCTGGTATCAATGGATGTGATAGGAATACTCGCAAGTTTGATGTGTGAGACGGCGGACCACTAGACCGTAATACTTTATTGGGCACAGTAGAACTTTCACTCGACAGATAGGAATATGTAGCTCCGGTGATTGACTATGACTTGAAGAAGATGATGTCGTAGAAATCGAAGACGTCGCCAGAAGAAGCTGTTCCAAGAAGCCCCGCTCTCGTCGCACCACTACTTTTATAGCATTACTTCTAGCACGTTTACATACATAGCTGCCCCGAAGAGTCTTATGTTTTGTCGGCGTTGACGACACCTGGCTAAAAATGATAATTAGTTTTAATTTATTGTTTCATATATTTGATGCGTATGCTATATACGCTCTAAATCTTCTAAATCACTCGTTGTCTTGTGAGAAAGCGGCCTCTACTTATTTTCTCGTGAATTTTATATGTAATAAAAAATCTCGAATTTCAGGTCACTACCTCTCAAATATATTTTTCTTCGAAGCCGGCAATAGCACTTTTGTCAAGTCACCAGGTGGAACATCAAGTGAAGTTCCGCGTACGGTGAGTAGCACGGATGTAAAGGGTGCAAACCAAGCCTTGTTATCTGTGGTGTCTTGTGAGCGTACGAGTTTGCCAAGACCTCACTGAAATCTAATGTCATTCGCTTCATTCCTATTTGTTGAGCTTATGAACCTAGTTGCGACGGAAAGCGGAAACTTTTAGTAAAAGGATAAAATCAAAGGATGAACCCTTGGGGTGTTAATCAATCCCGTCTGAGGGATGCGCCCACGCA